GATTCCAGGCAGGGCGAAACCTTGGGCAAGTTTCCTTACTCCACACACCCAATAATAATCTCTCCAAAACAAAACAATAATAAATTGGTCATTTTCAATCCACGACTGTTCGTGGGACACTGCTGTGCGCAATTGGCTGCTGCATTTCGCCCACAAATATACAGTCAATTCACTTTATAGCATATTCTGTGAAGCGCTTTGAGACGTCTAGAAGATGTAAAAAGCGCTATCTCAAATGCAAGGAATGTTATTATTATAATATATAATAACAATAATCCTTGCATTTGGAAAAGCGCCTTATCAAATCTTCTAGACATCTCAAAGCGCTTAACAGAATATACTGTAAAGTGAATTGACTGTATTTTGTGGGTGAAATTTTTTTGTAACGATGTGTTTTATTATTTTATTGCACATGCGTTGCTCTCGCTCTCCGCCTGGTGAAACCATACATGCCTGCGCACAGGGAGGGGATATATTATGTGCATCTCAGTTCTAACACATACTCTGCATACAAATGTGAGAGGAGGGAATCACTGTGCATAGGGAAGGTGCCTCTCTCCCGATGTGCAGAGGCACATCTTAAATCTTTTGAAAGCCTTGATCTCCGCAGCCGCCCCCCGATTATTTAGAACTCGAAAAGTGCTACAAATAAAATAAACCCTGAAAAATGAAATTTTTAAATCCCAAAACACAGAAGTCCTACGCATATCAACAATTACAACAACAACATTTATATGGCACCCTTCACACGGGATAGAGTCCCGGAGTGCTTATCGAACCCATTATATTCTTCCAAAATTAAGCTGATAAAACCCACTTTGCATCAAATTCCAACCCAAAGGTTTTTGCCTATAAATATACAGTCACTGTACAAAATGCTCTGAGAAGTGCTTTGAGCATTTTGAAGCAATCCAGCGCTAAATCAATTGTAAAGATTATTAGGATTAATATTGTTGAAAGTGTCACCGACCAAAAGGTAGCTCCAATATCGAGGAAGTAATTGAGTTGGCACCAGGTTCCCCTCTTGTTTCCTTTGTGGCATTACTGTGACCTAACCTCTGCTTAAATCTCTACCTCTAGGCTTTTCGCATTGGCTTTTGCTGACAGAACAGGGTTGGGAATTAGTTGCTGTCTGAAGTCGTTTTTTATATTCCACTGATTTACTCAAGGGAGGAATCTGTTACCACGGCAACTGTGTTTAAAGTATGTGTGGGTGGAGGGAGAGGAAATCAAAATACCCTGAGTTTTGAGTTAGCTGGAGAGGGTTTAAACTGCTCTTTTATTTGCTGATCTGGGACCATTACCTTGCCTCCACGAGGTGTCGCCTTGTTTTCACAGTACCATTACTAACCTAAGTTCACCCACATGTTGCTCAGCACACATACAGTTCTGCAGATGATCCCAGTGCACACCCAGAATCATATAGTTAATTAGGTGCACCTCAGTTCTAATTGATACGTGGGAATCTGCTGTTATGCAATCTGCATCATTGCATGCAGCGGCAGAACAATGTTGAGCATGTTTCAAAAAATGTGGCAAGTTACACAAGACTCTATCAACAGGTTAAAACTTGCATTTGGTAATAATAATAATAATCCTTGCATTTGATATAGCGCTTTTCACGTCGGGTGGACGTCCCAAAGCGCTTCACAGAACAGACTGTAAAGTGAATTGATTGTATATTTGTGGGCGAACGCGGCAGCCAATTGCGCACAGCAAGAAGAATAGAATATTGGGTTTGTGTGTCTTTTTTTCCAAAACATGTCACACATAATTTAATAAAATTGTAGCAATATGGAGTGCACCTGAGAGGTTCCCTTGTATCATTTTTGATGCCGTAAAACACCATAATTGACTATGTACTCTTTTAATAATATCTACAATCTACAATTCCTCCTAGTTTATCAGTGAGTTTTCAATGATGCTTATGCGTTGCATTGTTGCTCTTTGTTTTGTTACTATCATTATTTGTTGAGTTAATGTGAGTTGTTATCATGGTGCTGGTCAAAAAAGCAGTATGGGCAGATAAAATGATGATATTACTGTATAATATAATAATCCTTGCATTTGATATAGTGCCTTATCACATCGAAAAGTTGCAAGGTGCTTCACAGAGTTTTCTGTAAAGTGTATTTATATGCAAATGCAGCAGCCAATTTGCTCACAGGTATGTACCAGCTCATGAAGCTCATGCAGCTCATGAAGAGAGTGGAATATTGGCAAGGACAGTGGGAGAAACTGCCAATTGTGCCATGGGATTTATAATGACTTTGGCTCAACGTCTCATCCAAATGACTGCATCTCTGTTAATGCAGCACTTGAGTGTCAGCCTAGACCATGAGCTAAAAGTCCTGATGTAAACATTCCAAAAAAAATCTGTACAGCATTTTCTGCAACATCATGCTGACTATAAAGAGACCAAAAAACTAACAATAGAAATAATTTCCGCAATGCAAAATATATCAAGACATACAGGCAAGCAGGCAACTGAATTTACATGTACCACTTTAGCCACCAGAAGCAAACCACTTAACCTATCAAAAGAACATCCTTTCATTTGCAAAGTTGTAAAAAGAGGAAAGTGTACAGACAAGACAATGTTGACCACTGTCAACTGACATTAGCAAATGTTTCAATCTACTCTTACAAGCATGAAGCAGAAAGTTCACCAGCGTTAGGGAGCAGAAACCATGCCCAGAATCCTCATCACCTCTAACATTCTGCCCATTCACAAAATTACCACACACCATTACAACACAACACTCTGCAGCACAGAGGAAATGCTTCGCATTTGTTTGGTCATCAAACAGTTTATAAAAGCGTTTCATAGTTGTCACAAACGTGTAACCAATCTGTTAGATGTTGCTGGATAACACATTACTTACAATCAAAGAGATGAGTAAAAATGTCACTTGTTTGCCTGAGTAAAGCTATTCACATGGGAGGCCTAAATGTCCAACTTCAAGAACAAAGATCTGACGCTTCACCAAGCCTTATTCAGTGGATGTCACTTTATTTATTACTGAGTTGGCAGGCTGTTCATGTAGGATATCACTGCCAAATTCAATCTCGTTGTCACACAAATGTTCAGGCAGCAGAGACTGGGTAGCAGAAACCTTGGCTAATCTGTTTCTCCTCCCGAGTCTAGAAGCGCTGAGGCCAATTGTGATGCTCCACTGTTTGCCAGCTAAGATTTGTTAACAGTACAGACCTGGAAATAAACTCAGAACCTTCCTGGCACAGTATAGGAAAAGCCAAAGCTTTTACACAATGAATCACCGGAGAGGTAATACACACTTCCTTTAAAGAAGATCTGAGTAGTTTGGATTTACAATCATTGCATGTGTTTATGTTCAGTCTCGCTCAATTGGTTGCGCTCTCATCTCATGTGGAGTCCTGTAGCTCAGTGGTTAGAGCACTTGCTTTGCAAGCAAGACACCTGGGTTCAATTCCAGGCAGGGCGAAACCTTGGGCAAGTTTCCTTACTCCACACGCCTAATAATAATCCCTCCAAAAAACCCAAAAAACAATAATAAATTGGTCATTTTCAATCTACGACTGTTTGTGGGACATTGCTGTGCGCATTTGGCTGCCGCGTTCGCCCACAAATATACAGTCAATTCACTTTACAGTATATTCTGTGAAGCGCTTTGGGACGTCCTCCCGACGTGAAAAGCGCTATATCAAATGCAAGGATTATTATTATTATTATTATTATCTCTGAGTCAGAAGTTGTGCTTTAAAGATCCAGGTCAGGATTTTAAACTCATGGTCGGGGCTGACACTGCAATGTTGGGAATGTGCTACATTGTTGTCTGAATGAGACACTAAACCGAGGAACCATCTAACACTAAGCCCCAAATCTCTGGAGCTCCCAGCCTCAATCCCTTTGTCTTGCCACTTCATTGCCTGTCTTCAATTCACACCTGAAGGCTTTCCTCTTCAACTGATCCTTCAGTCACCTTTCCTCCTTTTCAAACTTGGCTTCAAACCACATCGCTGTTAAGTGCTCCAAGACGCTACCTGAGTAAAGGGCACTATATAAACGCAAATGTTGTTGCTGTTGTTTCTGGAGTCATTTGTCTCAAGTGGCCCCTCCTTTACCTGCAAAATACTGCAGATGCTGGAAATCTGAAATAACAACAGAAGTTGCTGGAAACACGCATTAGGTCAGTCAACATCTATGGAGAGAGGAAAATGAGTTAACATTTCATGTTGATGATCTGTTGTCAGAACAGTCCTGTAGAAAGGCCATAGACCTGAAACTTTAAACTGAAACTTTAACTTTAACTCTCCGTAGATGTTGCCTGATCTGCTGCATATTCCCAGTGACTTCTGTTTTTATTCCACTTTACAGTATATTCTGTCAAGTGCTTTGAGGTGTCTCAACAACGTGATAAGGCGCTATATCAAATGCAAGAATCATTATTAATCAGCTGAAAAAGGTTCTCTCTCTACCCAAGCTCCACTGGGACCTGGAAGATATGGTTCAAAATAGCTTACCTTCCCAAATAGAAAAAAAATATTGTTTCAGGACTTTTTTTAAAAGTCAAAATGTTGTGTTCAACCCCTATTGTGTCCTGTAGATATAAAATAAGTTCCTCAAAACATTACAATTTAAAGCATTCCTTATGAAAAATAATTGAGCCCTTTCTTATGGAGCATAATTTTGCCCACAAAACATATAGTCAATTCACTTTACAGTATATTCTGTGAAGCGCTTTGAGACGTCTCAATGCAACACCTTATCAAAAGCATTATTATTAATGCACACCTATGAAAAAAGGCAGCAGGTTCACTTGGAGCCTGACCATCTAATAACATTTCAGCAAAATATCTCCAAGTGCAATCTTTACAAGCATTAAGTAAATGTGCAATCAATCGAGAACTACAACTCATCTAGGCTGGATTGCATCATTTCCTAAAAACATCATTCTGCCCCTCTTTTGAAGAAGCATTTGAGTCAGAAACATTGACAGGAAACAGGAAGTTATGACGCTCCTTTTAGTAAGCAAGGAAATCAGAGCACAATGGTACTAAGGGCATACGTTTTATAAAGGTAACATGAACCAACGGAATTCAAGACTCTTTTTGACTCTGACAGTGGCTCTCTCTTTATCCAGCAACAGTAAGTACGACTAAAACCTTCTTTTATTAGGATTAGGCTAAAAAGTCCTGTACTACCATGCTCTGAATGAATGTGCCTCTGGCTATTCCAACGAATGGTTCCACCCAGATCTCTGAGAGATTTGACAGCTGCATGCTTTGATACTCAGACATTTTTCCAACTGTTTGTTTCATACAAGTTGATTGCGTGCTATAACTTTATCTTGATTTTCTTTCGTGTTTCTTTTCTCCACCAGTCTATCTTTCTCTTTTCTCCTGAAGGCACTGACACTTCACAGGCGTACAACTTCATGGGCACTGACCACTCTCCAATATCTTACCCAAGTGGAAATTCTTTGTGCGTGAGGTTGTATAATGAATGGCAACAGATTTTTTGACCACAGGATGCAGCAGGACTGAACCCGTTCCTCAGCTAACATCCTCACATTAACACTTTTCCGCAAGAGCTTCTGGATGCAAATCTGGAGCCTGAAAATTCTTGTATTTAGGATTAAAACCATTTTATTTAAATTGGAATTTTGAAAAGAAACCTTAAATTTAGCATTGATTTTGAAGTTTCATTTTTCTCAAAAAACACTATGGAAGAATCGGTCCTAAATTAAGACTGCTTTCGAAAATGTCACACCATCTTAGATGTTAAGCAATGGTTTTACGTCTAATAACATGAAATCTGTGGTCCACAAATGTAAACTTTGGCCGATTCATCCCTCAATAATTCAGGGGACTTAATCCAAATGTTGTGCTCAATTCCTGTCTCACTGAATGAGGAAGCTCAACATTGATCAAGGATCAAATCTAGGACTTTACAATTGTGTAAACTACGATCTCATTCTTACCATTGGCTTTCACCACCATGGGCAGCATTGCTTTGGCAGATAAACTGAATGGAGGCAGCAATTCTAATTTACACTGTTTTCTTCCAGACTATTCCTCCATTTGTCTGTCTGTAGCACACAATAGTGTAAACCCGGTGTCAGTTTCCTCTTAAAAATGTTTTCTGACATCCCCTCCTATTTAATAACAATAATCCTTGCATTTGATATAGGCCTTATTACATCATTGAGACATTTCAAAGGACTTCACAGGATATACTGTAAAGTGGATTGACTGTGTATTTTGTGGGCAAAATGTGGTAGCCAGTTGTACACAGCAGTGTCCCACAAAGAGCCATGGAGTGAGTGCCCAGTTTTATTTTGAGGGATCGTTGGCCACAGGACACTGCAGTAATCATAGACATACTTATTCGTTTGGAGTATGAATGACTCACTTTGGTTCAAATAATTTGACTGAACTTGATGGAGGTCAATTTATGTGTGAAATGAGATTGCACTCTGCTTCGCTCTTTATGATCATAAATGTTATTCCTAACATTTTTCTGACATGACAGATTCGTGACCATGCCTATTTAATTGCATCAATGAAATGTATATTTTGTATACAGTATTACAGTTTATGGATTCATTATTGTTCTGTGTAACACAACCTTTATTACTGATATACAAACAGCCAGTGATGGAACAGTCAGCAATAGCACAGGTCTTGCATCTTGCTTGAGGTAGTTAGTGAGGAAGTAAGAGAGAAAAGTGAAAGACAGTATATTCTTTTTAAACAAACAAAAATGAAACTGTGAAATGAGCATGAGGTTCAATGAAAATGTGGTTGAAAGTGCAGGCTGTTTAGACAGACGTTAAAGATTTCATGGCACTAGGTGAAAAGAGAGGAGTTTCTCCCTGTGTGCTGCCCAACAATCCTGCATATAAAAATATATATTTCAGGGAATTCCAGGGTCATAGATCCTGGTTCTTGTTGACCGATCAGGAAGTTCTGTTCATTGTACCGATGCAGAAGTCTGCAGTTCATTCTGGCCATTTGCTCTGCAAGGAACCAGTGGGAATCTAAAGAGATCATATAAATAGTAGAAAATGGGAGAAGAACTGTGAATTGTAACTTCCAGTTAATCTTAAGATGGCAACTTCAAAGAATAAGTGGAAAGCAAAACACCAGCAGTTTCCTGTCTGCATTTTATTCCAGCTTCACGTTTCATTGTTTTTGCAAATCTCGTAATGCGACATTGGCGAATTGGACATCAAAATGCACACAGTGAATCTGGTCTGTGAATATTGTGTTTAAGATATGGTTTTAGTTTTGATGTTCTTAGTTTTGGATCCTCTTATTTTAGACTATGTTCTTTTGATTTTAGTATTTGACTTTAGGATGCACCAACACAGAACAAGAGGCTACAGGTTCAGAGTTGCAAAAGGCAATTTCAGGACAGATACCAGGCAGTTTTTTTTAACCCAGAGTGTAGAAGAGCAGAAGTGTAACACAGCATTGGCATCCGTGGAGCTGAGAACCCTTTACAATAGTCTATTTTGATCTCAATTCAATAAGCACTTATTTATTCTGATTGCAACTGCATTCATGCATCAAAAGAATTATGACCAAACAAATTAATTTGTCCAACATACAACCAATGTACAATGGAGCCTGTAAAGAAATATGTCTTTCTGTGCAAAGCGACTGACTTATTTCATTAGAAACCCCCATGTTGTGATTCCCATCACTACCATATGTAATTGCAACTAATGTTTTTTTCAGTGGTTTCCTGTTCCTCTGATTAAACCATTCAGCGATCATTTACTAACATCATTGGGGTTTCTATGCCATTTCCCATTCCCCTGCTAAATATTATGAATAAATTAAGTTACATAGAATATACCGCACAGAAACAGGCCATTCGGCCCAACTGGGCTATGCTGGTGTTTATGCTCCACTTGAGCCTCCTCTTGCTCTTCCTCAACTAAGCCTATCAGCATAACCTTCTATTCCTTTCTCCCTCATGTACTTATCTAGCTTTCCCTTAAATACATCTATGCTATAATGTATGAGTTAATTTTAAAGCATCTAGATGCAGCCCATTATTCAGGTGTAAGCCACAACAGTGCGTGTTGACAGGTTGTTTGAGCGACCATAGGGGATATCTAATCCAAAATTGACCAGCTGATGTCCACACCCTACACCTGGAGCTGGATAACAGTCAGGAGCAGACAGCTTGGTTGAGTTTTTTTTCTTTCTAGTCCAGGGGTTCTGATGGTAATTACAGTACCCAAACTACTGCTTGAGATTTGCTAACTCAACATCTGCAGTCTTCAGGCCTGCTTGGCTCACTGCTGTACCAAATGGTTTCTTTATCAACTGGCACATCAAGAGATTGCTTGATCTGATCTCTTGCTAAAACATTATGCTGGCTTGTTAGCAAAAAAAAATAATGTGATGCTTTATATCTACCAGATATAGATTGAAACAATTGGTGCTTTGGGTACGATTCAGTGACTTGTTTTCCATTGAGTGTGCAGGGTCAATCTGGGACTGATTTAGAAGAAGTAAGTGATTTATTTTTTAAAGAGGAAGAAGTGGTCAACGAAATGGGGAAAAATTATGTTCCTGATCTTATTTGGTGGTCTGTTCTAAATGATGATTAAAAGTGTTAAAAATCTGTGGTTAATGTATCACCCAAGAAAAGGGAAATGTTCATCAACAAAGTAAGAGTCTGTGTTCCTGTTTTGTTTTTTCGGCTTGCCTCTTCTTGAAATTTCCGGAATAATATCTGCAAGTGGTAGACATGCAAAATGAGTTCTCAAAAGGAGAAGATTGAATTTATTTGTGATGTTTCCATGCTGGTGTGAATTTCAAGTGCTCTGGGATGCTATCCTGATGGGCGCTATATAGATGCAAGTTGTTTCTGATGTTGATTTTTGGGCATCACAGATAAATCCAATACATCAGTGAGAGGCACAAATCATCAGCCTCATGAGAGCAGGGTGGTGGTGATGGGGGTGAGGTTGAAAAGAGAAAATTGACCACAAATCTGGAGGATATACAGCTCTTGAAAATGATACCTGCATTCTCACAGATTTCACAACATTTTGTTCTAATCCTTTTGTCATTTTTTTTAAAAAACAGCTTTTTCATCGCAAGTAAATGAAACAACTACATCTGTGAATCACACTGAGCAACCCAAACAAACTGATGCAACAACTACTGAATTAAGCCCAATAACTGCAGAAGTTAAGTACGGAAATCACTCTACCATAAGCTTATCCTTACAAGCAAGTAAGGTGGCTTCCTCAACAGTTTCACATTTCAGATTTTCATCAAAGAAACAGCAAGATGTCCACAAAACAAATACTTCTGGCACCGTAGCCACCAGCATAAAGACTACTCCGAATAAATCATGGCAGAACAGGTCAAAGGGATATTCTCCATCATCTACGACCAAGTCAGGCAATCGTAAGACACCAAACAAAACCTTCATTATCTTGGTGATTGCACTTCCCATCCTGGGCCTCGTTCTGCTTATATTGATGGTTGCCTTTGTGATATGTTTCACTCGTAAGAAAAAGCAAAGTAAGAAATATTTTATTTGACTTGAAATAATGATCCAGTGAAATAATGTGGTATTTTAATTAAAGAATGACATAGATCCTCCTATTCGCAGAATCCTGCAGTATAGTGGTTGGCGAGCTCACCTCACAAATGAGAGGACTCAGGTTCAATTCCCAGGCAGGGCTAAACTTTAGGCAAGTTTCTTTACTCCACACACCTCTGTTTACCTAGCAGTAATTAGGAACCCGGTTGTTAGACAATTGGCAGATTGCTTTCTGGGGGTAATAATCCCTCAAAAAAAATGGTCAAACCACTACCGTCTGTGGGACACTGCTGTGCACAGTTGACTCCCGAGTTTCACCCACAAAATACACAGTAAATCGACTTTACAATATATTGTGTGAAGTGCTTTGAGACTTCTCAATGATGTGATAAGGTGCTATATCAAATGCAAGTATTATTAATAATAATCTTGAAATTCACTTTTCCCATTTTAAAGTTCACAGCAATAAAAATTTACATTACATAAGACGACTAATTGGCATATTGTGCTGGCTCTTTTGAAGAGCAAGCCTTTCAGTGCTATTTAGAATAAGATATATTTGAAGATCAATTTGTATTTGTAGTGTTTACTATTTTCAAGCATTTTTTGCAATTGCCTCTCAGGACACAGCAGTTATGTCCAATGAACACACAACGGTCATTAAATATTACAGAGTTTGGTTTGACAGCAAGACTTACAATCATCAAATATAGATAGAACAAAACAACTCATTATGAAAAGATCTCAAAGGGATGGAGAGCAAAAGAGACAGCAAGTCAGCAAGTGTTAGATGAAGGGCACTTGTGAATCTCAGCAGGCAATCGATCTCAGATCATTTTTTTTCATTAAGAAGGGCTTTAACTAGCTCCATACAGCTTGCTGACTTCAGGCTTTTTTTGAATGCTGGAAATAATCCTCTCAAAGTTTCCAGTCTGTGCCTCTTATCTTTCCAGTCATTCAATTTGGTGGCATGAAGACTCTCAGATTTTCAGAGGAGACACTTCTAAGCAATCAGGAGGCCAAGAGCCATCCTAGTTTTCTACATTGGTCGATATACTTAACACGATCTCTCAAGACACAATCTCTTGGAAGATCCTGTTAAATGCATCGACCAAATATCAAACTAGGATGGCTCTTGACCTCCACAGTGGCTGGAAATTGTAATCTTGAGAGCTTGGGTGAAAAAGTCACTGAACATCCTTAAACAGCACCAAACAATGCTTTTGTGTGCTTTTCTTCTACCATCAGTTTCAGTGCCAGTTATTCTAACGCCAATGGATCCCATGTGGCAAAACAAAGCCTTTTCAAAATCTTCAATTAGCCCTTCACTAATATTTTCCATCTCAACGTGCACACCTCCACACAATAATCCTTGCATTTGTTATAGCACCTTATCACGTCTGCGAGACGTCACAAAACTCTTCACAGAATATACTGTAAAATGAATTGTCTGTATATTGGGACATCCTCCAGATGTGAAAGGTGCTATACCTTGATTGACCTTTAGATGACAAGATCATATTCACAATTAACGTATGGATGTAGAAGGCCCTTCAACCCCTTTTATTTCCATCTTTCCAGAATATCCACCCAACAAACTTTGTTCCCTTTATAGGATCAAGTTGTTTCTTAAGTAAGTCCAGCATTCTGGCCTCAAACATTCCTTCCTGGTAATATGTTCCAGGAATTAATAATTCTCAGTGTGAATAAATATTTCCTGGTAACTGTCCAGAAATTGTCCATCACATGCGTAAGAGGGTCACTTGCACACTCTTATTCTGCTGCATTGACATACCTGACTCACTCGGTAACACTCTTGCCTCAGTATCAGAAGTCTCTAGGTTTAAACACCACATTGGGACTTCATAGAATTATACAGCACAGAAGGAAGCCATTCGGCTCATCGTGCCTGCTCTTTTAAAAGACCTATCCAAATCAATCCCGCTCCCCTGCTTTCTCCACATAGCCCTGCAAACGTGTCCTCTCCAAATAATTATCTAATTCTCTCTTAAAAGTTGTTATCGAATCGGCTTCCATCACCCTTTCAGGCAATGAATTCCAGATCTGAACAACTCGCTGGGTGAAAAACATTTCTCCTCACCTCCCCTGTTTCTTTTAACAACTATTTTAAAACGGTGTCCTCGGGTTAGTGACCCACCCATCAGTGGAAATAGTTTCTCCTTGTTCACTCTATCGAACCCCTTCATAATTTTGAAAACTTCTATTAAGTCTCCTCTTAACCTTCTCTGCTCCAAGGAGAACAATCCTAGCTTCTCTAGCCTCTCCTGATAACTGAAGTCCCTCATTCCTGGTACCATCCTGGTAAATCTCCTTTGCACTCTCTCCAATGCCTTGACATCCTTCCTAAAGTGTGGTACCCAGGGCTGAACACAGTACTCTAACCAGGGTTTTATAAAGGTTCATCATAACTTCCTGACTTTTGTATTCTATGTCCCTATTTATAAAGCCTAGAATCCCGTATGCTTTTTTTTTAAAAAAAAAACTGCTTTATCTACCTGTCCTGCAAGCTTCAAAGATTTACTTATATGAACGCCCAGGTCTCTTGTTCTTTCACGCCCTTTAAGTTTTTACCATATAGCTTATATTGCCTCTCCTAATTCTTCCTCCCAAACTGCATCACTTCACATTTATTCACATTAAACTTGATCTGCCACATATCTGCCCATTTTACAAGTCTATGTCCTCTTGCAATCGACTGCTATCCTCCTCACTGTTTATTACTTTTCCTAGCTTAGTATCATCTGCAAACTTGGAAATTGTACTCCTTATAGCCAAGTCCAGGTCATTGATATAGATCAAAACAACAGTGGTCCCAATACCAACCCTTAGGGGACATCACTGCACACAACAACAACAACAACAGTGTATTTATAGAGTGCGTTTCACGTCAGGAGGACGTCCTAAGGTGCTGGACAGTTGGGTCAGGACCCGAGCAGGGGGGAATGGTCAGGGTGAGGGGAGGGAAGGGAGGGAGCGAGGAGGGGGTAGAGAGTCGAGAGGGGAGCTGAAGGCACGGTCAAAGAGAAAGATTTTGAGACTAGCCTTGAAGGAGGAAAGGGAGGAGGCGGCGAAGGCAATGGGGGATAGAGTTCCAGAGCCTCAGGGCTGAGAGGCTGAAGGCTCAGCCACCGATGATAGGGCGGTTGGGGCGGGGGATGTGAAGCAGACCGGAGCCAGAGGAACGGAGGGTATGGGCAGGTAGGTAGGGGGATAGTAGGTCGGAGAGGTAGGAGGGAGCGAGGCCGTGAATGGCCTTGTAGGTGAGGATGAGGATCTTGAAATCAATCCTCTGGGGGATGGGGAGCCAGTGGAGGCGAGTGAGGGTGGGAGTGATGTGGTCGCGAAGCCTGGTGCGGGACAGTACATGAGCTGCAGAGTTCTGAATGACCTGCAGCTTGTGGAGGGAGGTGCCGGGAAGGCCGACGAGGAGAGAGTTCCCAAAGTCCAGCCTTGAGGTGATAATGGCGTGGACCAGAGTTTCAGCAGTGTGAGGGGTGAGGTAGTGCCGTAGTCTGGCGATGTTCCAGAGGTGGTGGAAGGCGGTGCCAGTTGTGGGGCGGATGTGGGGAAGAAAGGACAGCTCAGGGTCGAACAGAACGCTGAGGTTCCTGATTCGCTTTGAGAGGTGGAGAATGCAGCCTTGGATGCTGATCCCTCCACACTTCCCTCCAATCAACAACAACAACAAAATTACATTCAAATTAGTTTCACGTCAGGAGGATGTCCCAAGGCGCTGGACAGACAGAGTTACAGACCCGAGCTGGAGGTTCGGGTGTGGGATGGGGGGGGAGGCAGGGAGATCAAAAGCACGGTCGAAGAGGAGGGTCTTGAGGTAGGACTTGGTGGCGAGGGAGGGGGCAAGATGGAGGGACTGTGGGATGGAGTTCCAGGGAGTGGGTGCAGAGTGGCGGAAGGCCTTTCCGCCAATAATGGAGCGAGCAAGGCGGGGGACGTGAAGCAGGCCGGAGCCCGCTGAACAGAAGGAGAGAATAGGGTGGTAAGGGGTTAGGAGGTTGGAGAGGTAGAGGGGAACAAGACTGTGGAGGGCTTTGAAGGTGAGGACGAGGATCATGAACTGTATCCTTTGTGTGATGGGAAGCCAGTGGAGTTGGGCGAGGCTGGGGGTGATAGGGTCGCAGAGCCTAGTGCGGAAGAGGACATGGGCTGCAGAGTTCTGGATGATCTGCAGACTGTGGAGGGAGGAGTTGGGGAGTCCGACAAGCAGTGAGTTTGCATAGTCAAGCCTCAAAGTCATGAAAGCATGTATGAGGGTTTCGGCGGCCTACGGCGTGAGACAGTGTCGGAGCCGGGCGATGTTGCGGAGGTGGGGGAAGGCAGAGCAGGTCATGGCGCAGATGTGGGGTAGAAAGGATAGTTGAGTTTCAAACAAGACCCCAAGGTTCTGGACTGGTTAAGCAAGGTGGAGTGTGCAACCATGGATGGTGATGCTGTCAGCATCTGAGGTGAGGAAGTGCTGACGGGAGCCAATCAGGAGAGCCTCGGTCTTATTGACGTTCAATTGAAGAAAGTTAGCTCTCATCCAGGACTTGATGTCTGACAGACATTCTGTCAGGACAGCAGTGGTCCTGGAGTCAAGGGTGGAGGCAGAAAGGTACAGTTGGGTGTCATCCACATACACGTGGAAGTTGACCCCATGTCTGCAGATAATGTCACCAAGAGGGAGCGTATAGATATTGAAGAGGAACAGCCATTCACCAGCACTCTGTCTCCAAGCCAGTTCTGTATAATAATAATAATAATAATCCTTGCATTTGATATAGCGCTTTTCACGTCAGGAGGACGTCCCAAAGTGCTTCACAGAACACACTGTAAAGTGAATTGACTGTATATTTGTGGGCGAACGCGGCAGCCAATTGCGCACAGCAATGTCCCACAAACAGTCGTAGATTGAAAATGACCAATTTATTATTGTTTTGTTTTGGAGGGATTATTATTAGGTGTGTGGAGTAAGGAAACTTATCCATGCTGCCACTGTCCTTTTAATACCATGGGCTTTAATTTTGCTTAAAAGTCTCTTATGTGGCACTTTATCAAATGCCTTTTGAAAATCCATATAAAGTACATCAATTGCACTGCCTTCATCTACCCTCTCTGTTACTTCATAAAAAAAAACTCTACCAGGTTTGTTAGACATGATTTGTCTTCAGCAAATCCATGTTGGCTGTCCTTTATTAACCCATATTTTCAAAGTGAAAATTTATTTTGCCCCAGATTATAGTCTCTAGAAATTTGCCCAGTACTGACGTTAAGATGACTGGCATGTAATTTGCAGGTTTATCCTTCTGCCCCTTCTTGCACAGGGGAGTAACATTTGCAACCCTCCAGGCCTCTGGCACCACCCCAGTTTCCAAGGAGGATTGAAAGGTCATGGCCAGAGACTCCATTATTTCCACCCTTGCTTCCCTCAGTGACCCCAGACCGGGTGAGTTTTCAGAAACCCTGAGCTCAAGCTCAAGCAGCCAGAGGTACTTCCTACACACAAATTTTCCATGGCACACAAAGCATTCTGGAGTTCCCACATAGGGCAATCAACCAGTTTTAGCTGCCCTGCCATATTCCCAGACATATTTTATATTACTTTAATATAACTATTATATACTTTATAATTATGCACCTCCTTCTCCCTTTGCACCAAATTTCCACTCTCACCAAGTTCCTTAACAGAAATCTCACTCCATTCTCTCCTCACTCTGCTGGGCTCTTTGCTCAAGTGAGGCACTTGCAAATCTCACTTAATTAACTGATCCCTAACACCTAACCTGTGACCAACTGCCAATTTAACTTGTTTCCTTGTAAAGTTCTCCCTTGCTCAAGAAAGAATTCCCAGTCTTTTGCTCCCCAGTTCTCTCTTGCTCAAGATTCCCACTCTCACCAAATTCCTTAACAGTATCCTTACTCTGTTTCCCACCTCACTCTACTGGGCTTTCTGTTCAAGTGAGGTTCTCACAAGTCTTCCCCCTTTATATAGGACTCAAACAAAAACACCCAGTTGTGACTGGTCTGAAAATGTATTAATCCCAACATCTGACCTATGATTAACTGCTAATTGACTTGTTTGCCTGCTTACATATAAGGTCGCCTCTACCGCAAGAAAAATTTCCCACCCTTCTGCTGAATAAAATAGTTTTTTCTTTCTTGTATCTCTCAGTACCTTGGGACATTCTCCTGATGTGAAAGGTGCTATGCAAATGTAATTTTGTTGTTGTTGTTGAAGAATTCCCACTCTCACTAAATTCCTTAACATAATTCTCACTGTTCCACCTCACTCAGTTCCCTCCTCACACTGCAGGGCTCTCTGCTCCCTAGCTCTCTCTCTTATTTACAAGAACACATAAACTACACTTGGCAGCAATTGCCTATGGAATACCTTAAGGCATTTCAACATTATAGACATGAAAACACATTTTATTTTGTATTTGCTGCCTTTAATTCAACAAAACTCAGTGAAAATGGTTAATTTAACTATCTTGGCACTGAGTCTGTGAGTCCAGGTCTTTGATTACAAGGAAAAGGAAGAGTCCTGCAACAAAGGTTGACTGTTAAATATTAATGAAAATATTGTGCATTACAATTTTTCCTGGTTAAGATCTTGTTGCTGGAAATAACTGATCAATTTGCTATTCTGCATTTCTCATGCCAACCTTTATAGCTCTTGAGTGACTGTCAGGCTATGGGTAGTATCCTACAGTGGGCCTGTGCCTCTCAATAGTTGGTTGTCATTGCCCAAACTATATTAAGATAGGACCCTTACAGTCAACAGTCTGAGCTAGGTCTATCTAAACTCAGCTCTCGAAACTGCAAGGCCAGTATACCCACCTAATGTTCCACCCAATCACCCAATATTTTTGAGTACATAGTAGCATCGTGCCTTTATTTACTGCTTTCAGGAAACAAATATAATGAGGATGGGACTAACATTTTTTCTCAACCTATTCCCAGTGGATTTATGCATGATTGCTTACAACCATGACTATTTTAAGGATTGGCTGCTAATTGCTGTTTTCAAAGCTAGCAAAGGAAATAAGCACATGCCTGGAGTAATAATCTGATGTAATGAGGATACTAGCTCTTCTTAAATGTTCCCAATTGATTATTTTACTACCCACATTGATCAAAGTATTATTCAATTCAGGTATCTAAGCTTCAACACTTGGTTCACAACAACAACTTGCATTTAGATAGCGCCCTTCACATGGGGTAGCGTCCCAGAGCACTTGTTTTCAACAAGGAGATAGATGATGGAGGATTTACGAGTGTTGATCAAAGTGCAGTGAAACAGGCTTTTAAATTGGTTTTGTCAGGAGGGAGAGAAGGTGCAAGGCAAAGAGATTTGGTGAAAGAGTCCAGAGAGGAGGAGCAGAGTAGACGAATTCTCAGCCATGGATGGGGGAATTGAAAAGAGTGAGGGAGAGCAGAAAGCATATGTAGGAAAATAGGGCTGAATGAGATGCGGTAGATAGGAAGCCGGCTGACCAGTGCTGGCTTGTAGCGATTCCAGTTACTGCAGGTCTATAGAACATCAGTGGGAAAACAAGTCTATACGATACTGAGGAGAGAAGTTCTTTTGTGCACTTGGAAAGTTGCTTTATTGCAAAGCAAAGCTTTGTCTCGTCCATGCATTCGTCAATTCCCTACTCGACATCTCATATGCCCTCTTCGCTGGTCTCCCTAGCATCATCAAGCACAAGATCCAGATAATCCAAAACTCCGCTGCCCGCATACTCACCTGCACAAAACTCTGCACCCCCATCACACTAGTTCCACCCAGGCTTCACCTGCTCCGTATCACTGAACGGGTCGATTTCAAGATGCTCACACTTGTTTTCAATTCCCTTCATGCCCTGGCACCTTCCTGCCTCTCCGACCTGCTTACCTCCCAACCCACAGCCCGCTGCCTCCACTCGACTGCTCTAGTCTTCTGCATGTCCCTCGTTCCCTCCGTTCCACCATTGGTGGCTGAGCTTTCAGCTGCTATGCCTCGAAACTCTGGAACACTCATCCTCTATCCTTCCCCCTTTGCCGCTTCCTTCCCCATCTTCAGATTGCGCCTGAAGACCTTCCTATTCGGCCGTGCCTACGGTTACCTCCTCCTCACCCCTCCCCCCCCAGGTCGTTGTCATGCTCCACCACTGTCGAGTGCTCTGGAATGCTACCCTGTGTGAGGGGAGCTATACAAATGCAAGTTGTTGTTGTTCATTCTCCATCTCTCAAACAGAAAAACTGTATGTCCAACTTAAAATTAACTCAACTCTTCACAGAAAGTTTGCTTAAATAAATTTGTCCTAACTTTATTTTCCTCAGTCCTGGATGATGAAGCTACCAGTGAAAATCTAGCAAGGTAAGATGATTCAAACTTTTTGCAGAATTATTTAAAAAAGAGGTCCACTGAAGGTCAATGTAGGTAAATGGACACAGATTCTAAAGATATGATTGGGAGCTATGCAGAACTGTATTTATTTGTCATTTGACAGTGGATCAAAGTAGAAGTTAGATACACTCACAAATTCATTTAATTTGCTTCAAATAATGAATTGGTCAGACTAACTGTACTGTATTAAGACTTGTTTAGCTTAGTTCTGTATGAGTGATGGAGAGTGTGGTTGCTCTGTATGCGGTGGTGTGGTTGCTCCATATGTACCAGTAGGAATATGCTTCTTGCGCATTCTCATTATCAGCACCAAAGTGTGAATCTATGTGAATCTGGTGGTGGTGTGCTGTGAGATTGACTTTAAGATCCCGTTTTACCAATAGGAAATGGACAATAAAACTGTGGCATCAGTTATTACTGAGTTCACAGGTCACACGGTTATTAGAAATCTTGATAGCAATCTGTGGTAGGTCATAGTTTGTGAACGATTAGAACCCAGAACAAGATGCGTTCTTGTGCCTGCTTTGTTTTTTGTCAAATTCATTTTCAATTTATATTCAGTACTGTTCCTCTGTGGTAAATTATTTTCTTTATCTTTCATCCTTTGCACGCTTTCTTCATCTCAGTCTTCACCTATCCCTGCAACACCAATGAGCCCTCCCTTGGCCTGACACAAATTAATTCAGTGTGTTTGAATCAGGCTGCGGTAAACCACTTGAATTTAAATTACTTGAATCCTCCTCGATCTCCCCTTCTGTTTGACATACCGGTGCACTCAACAGGCAGGTAATGAGGTTGTATATTTACTCTGCCAGTTTAGTCCTGCAAATTTCAATAAAGATTCACACCAGTGTTAATTCTTCCTTCTGCCACTATCGCAAAGAGTCAGCCTATGGATCATAGGTTTACTTTGACAATGCTTATTGTTGCAGTGCAATGTAAAATTGGTTCTGACCAGAGAGTGGGGACCATCTTGTATCTCTTGTGGGAGGGGTGACCTAAAATCCCATTCCTTTTTCAGTTAGATATGTTGGAACTCTGGGGTCTAAGTGACTGTGATTGGATTTGAATCTATAACAAAAGTGCTGACTTGTTATTTTCGCTACTGTAGTCTTTGATTGACGTTCACATTCAGCAGTTCTGTCTCCTGCCCCAACTGCCTGTTATTAGATTTGAGATGCTAAGTGGCTCTAAAAGCTGCTCGAAATGTACAGTGAGCAGGACATTAATGCAAGTGGCTCAGAGATGCTGGCTTTGTCTATGACAGCAGGTTGGTTTACAGTCAGCATGATGAGTGCTGGAGACTGCTCATTACACAGCATTTGGGAAATATAGTTTATGTGCTACTTAAGAAAGGAGAACGACTGGACCTGTGTAGTGGACCTCGTAATGGAAGACTCTGAAGGCAAAACAGTTCAAATAGATTTGTGGCTGTCACTGGTAAAAGGAAATTAAAGATGTCTCAATTATTTTATATAATTTTTATGATTCTGATTTGATATTTACAAACTGTGAACATCCCAGAGTAAGTGAAAAATATTCCCCTAAAGGTGATTGTTTGTTCTGTTTAAAGCCCAATTTTTGAAGAGGACATTCATTCAGTGATGGAGGTTGAAATGGATGAACTGGAGAAATGGATGGGAAGCATAAAAAAAGCCTGTAAGTAACTGAGTGTGAATTGCATAGACTAGTTCTCTAGGGAATGAAGAGATTATAGCTCAGTACCTCCAATTCCAAATAAGAGAAGGTATCAATCTCTTCACTTCCCACTACTTCCCTATCTTTGTAATCTTCTCTTAGTCCCTGCTTCTGCTTGTCTCCTCTACTTGTGGAGTCCTGTAGCTTAGTGGTTACAGTACTTGCCTCGCAAGCGAGAGGACCTGAGTTTGATTCCCGGCCCGGGTGAAACATTGGGCAAGTTTCCTTACTCCACACAGCTCTGCTTACCTAGCAGTACGTAGGAACCCAATTGCTAGTTGATCGGTGGATCGCTTTTCTGGGGGTAATAATCCCTTCAAAAAAATAAATAATTTGGTCACTCAATCCACGAATGTTTGTGGGACACTGCTGTGCACAATTGGCTGCTGAGTTTTGTCCACAAACTATACACAGTTCACTTTACAGTATATTCGGTGAAGCACTTTGAGATGTCTCGAAGACGTGATAAGGCGCTATACCAAATGCAAGGATTATTATTATAATTATGTGGCTAACTCAGGCTTGCTGCACATCCCACACCCCTTCTGTGTGATGATTGGCGGCAGTGCCTTCAGTTTCTATGCCCCTGACGTCTGGAACTCCCTTCATCTTCCTCTCCATCTCACTCTCCTCTATTGCACTATTTCTCTATTGCTTCATTTAACAAGACGCTGGTTGGTTCAACGAGGCAAATCCTTTCAGCTTTGTGAACTGCTTTCCAATCCAGCTCAGACCAATGAGAATAAAATTCTTTCTCCTTACTCACTCTAAGCCTCTTTTCCATGTTTAACACACCACTCTCTGCCTCCCAAAATCCAGAACCAACTCCCACTCCTACCATTCTCAAATCCCAATCGCAGATGGCACAAATCCAGCATCTCGGTCCATCACCAAATGTGACTCAGCCACCTTAGAAACTCATCTCTCCTTTGTCAAAACTAAAATGTCTTTTTATTCCAAAGTTATCCAGGAGGCTGAAGACAACCCTGAGCTCCTGTTCTCTACCACTAATTATATCCTCTATTCTCTCCCACCTCAAGCACCTCCCCATCCCTGCTATCTTTGTCCAATCTCCTCAACTTGGCTAACGTAGGCCAACTGCACATGCTCTCCCACCCCCCTCCTACTGTGTAACGGCAGAGCCGTTAGGTATTATGCCCCTGACCTTTGGACCTCCCTGCCTCTGCCCCTCCATCTCTGTTCTTCTGTATCAGACTTTAAATCCCACCTAAAAATTTACCTTTCACTGCAACCATGGTCATCTCCCCTTCCCCTTTTCCCTTACAGCATCCGACACAGTCAATGTGACATCATCTTCAATACACCATCTTGTTGTTGATGTTGTTGTAAGGAGTTCAAGTGAGCAATTTCAAATCCAGTTACCAGGAATCCCATTAAGAAATTCCACATATATTTCCTTAAGTCTCCATTTCCCATGCTTTTAGCTCGTAATTCCTAAAAGAGCAGACCCACCTGCAAAGTAACACTTCAGATAATTATCATAAGGTTGAAGCAGGAAAATACAGAAAAGAATAAAATAATTATTCTTCACTCAGATAATTCTTAAGAAATTTTCCCACATGGCAGATGTACTAGTTTGATATTGATGGAGATTATAGCTCTCTGAGCTGACTGTGGCATGTACTGGTCCTCTTCCTCAGAATAGTATTAATAACAATATTCCTTACATTTGATTCAGCGCCTTATCATGTCTCAATGCACTTCACATGATATACTGTAAAGTGCTTTGACTGTGTTTGCGGGCAAAGCTAATTAGAGCAAAGCTTAATTGTGGTGCATGGATTTTTTGATGTGTTCTTTCTGTCATATATTCTCTTAAATCATTCCAGCTCAACAGGAGACTTTACCGGAAGAAAAAGAATTGAATCCCAAATCAAGGTACGTGAGAGCGAGAGAGAGAGAAAGAAAGAAAAATAAAGAGAAAGCAAGAGAGGAATTGCATTTGTAGTATTGAATGAAAAGAATCTGCGTGTAATTAACTTAACAAACAGAGCAAGTGCAAAACATGAAGTGAGTTTGATAAGGTGGGACTCTGGGGTCTAGCATAATAGATGCTTTGAGATGCAATCCACATAATCTGGTATGTTTAACACCGTGGTAAATTGTTTGTTAAAGAGTTGACATTTCTCAGATTAGCTGCATCTGCATTTAAATTAAATACAGAATGTGATTGTATTTTACTTACTTCAGTCAGTATTTAAGAACCTGGGAAGTTTTTTTTGGTCAACCGGGTGTATGGACATATGCGGAAACCCATCACCGTGCTTAACTCTTAAGAATATCCAAAACAAATTGAGATTTCCATGCCTCCCACTTCACATGGAAATTCCAGAGATAGATTGTTGGAATGGAATGTGCACTCTCTCCCTGAAGGATCACATCCTGCTCTCCTAATTGCAGAAAGTATTAGGCGCAGGTTGGCAAGAACCAAGGCTTGGGGAGTCCAGAGCGTGTGTTGGGGTACTGCTGAAGTCTAACCAGATAAAACCACATAGCTTGCCATTGATATTGCTGTCTGGCAAGCTTTCCCACTGCTTATCTAGCTAGGACCACCCGTTAGGGTTTGCCTTACAGGGTTAATACAAGCTGAGTGAGATGATTCTCTGGCCCCAATGACTTGTCTGCCCTTTCAAGTCCTCATCTCAAAGCACTAAACATCTTACATACATCAACAGCACTAGATTTTAACTCACACAGAAACCGATCGATTTGTAAATTTGTTAAATAATTGCCATTTCTCGTTTTAGTTGCAACTGCATTTGAATTCAATGCAGAATGTGATTTTACTTTATTTACTTCAGTGCAGTATTTAAGAACCTAGAAAGTGGGAATCAGAGAGTTGGATTTCCAGGATTAAAAACAGCACTCCTGACAACATTTGAATGCTGCACAAAATTACATAACTCTTCCAATAATAATCCTTGCTAATAATAACAAACAAAACCAAACATTCACTGAAAAAAACAATTTTATTCAACAATTTTAATAGGAGTGAAATGCAACAGATTTTATAACACAATCAACAATTAGCAAATCTGTTATGACACATTGCAAATCAGAATACAATACATTAGATTGAAAACTAAGGCTTCGTGTACCAACTAACTCCACAGCTTCTAAAGGAAGACAGAAATTAGCCTTGGAGTGGAGAGATAGGCAGAAGAAAATCTTATGCACGCACTTTTCCCTGTGTGATGATGGCCTGAGTTTTCCAAAAATGCAAGCCTATGATTTTAATTCACCATTTGACATGACTGGTTCAGAGAGAGGCGAGAAACACATTCGGGACTAGGGTTAAAAATTTGTAGAAGCTGATTCAAAACCATTGAGGGCTGCAGTTCTGCTCAGATTTCTGTGCAGCAACTTCGATACACAATCATAATCCCTGTTTGAAGCATATTGTCAATTGCAAAATTCTGAAATTTAGTCTGAACTTGAGAGCTGGTTTCCTGCATTTCCTCAAAAACAATATTCCTAAAATTCTGCATGTTCTTACATTTGTAGGCTTACAATTGAGATCCAAAGAGATTTGGACCCTTTGGAATTATTAGTTTTCAGTGTGATAAGAACCTCCACAATATCACAGTCCAATTCCATAAATTGAAAGGGTGTATTGGCAGAAGTATTGCTTTCATAATCTGGCATTTCAACAAATTCACAGAAAGACAACGCAACCCGTTTGTCACAGGCTGGATCCGTAGTGTTTACATCTTTTGATACTAGTTGAGGTTATAGTAGAGTGTATTTTAGCACAGCAAAGCCATAATTACACCTTCAGCAACATGTCAGAACAAAACACAAACAGGAAGTGGTCTGTGTGCAATAGAACAGAACAAGCCAAGACAAACAACAGCAGACAGATGAGCTAATCAATGAAGGAGGGATGTGCGCAGCAGACATATGAATCACTGTACCTTAGCAACACGAACTAAGGTAGGATTTGACTGGCATTTGGTAATAGTGATGCCTGTGTTTCAACCATTGTCTCTCATGATGAGAGAGAGCCTCAGTAATGCAGACTACACATATCATCCACACCTACAACAACTTACACTTATATTGCAGTGCCCTCCATGCAGGGTAGAGTCTCAGAGAGCTTAATAGTGGCGGAGCCTGACTGGGTGGGGGTGGGGAGGAAGTATGACCTTAAGCACAGTCGAACTGAAAGGTTTTCAGGCAGGACTTGAAAAAGTGGAGAAAGGAGGCAAGGCGGAGGGATTGAGGGAGAGTGCTCCACAGTTTTGAACGTAGTGACAATCTCCAATGTGTAGCGGAGGGTACGAGGGACAATCAGGAAGCCGGTGCCAATCGAGCGGAGGTGCTGGGTGGTGGATTAGGGAGTGAGGAAGTCGGAGAGGTAGGGAGGTGCCAGGGAGTGAATGGATTTGAACATGAGTGTGAGGATCTTGAAATCAATCTATTCGGTAAGGAGTGCATTTGAGTAATCCAGGTGGGAGGTGGCAAACGCATGCATGAGGGTTTCGGCTGCATTTGGGGTAAGGTATGGTCGGAGGCGGGCAGTGAGGTGGAGGAAGGCGGTCCTGGTCAGGGACCAGATGTAGGGGAGGAAGGACAACTGGGGGTCGAACCGGATGCCTAGATTGCGCACTGAGTCTGAGTGAGAGCCCAGAAAGGTTGAGGAGTTTAGATACGCAGGAGTGAAGACTTTGACGGGAGCCAAAGAGTATGGCTTCCATCTTGTCCACTTTCAGCTGCAGTAAGTTTGAAGAATAACATAACATCCATCGCCAAATCTCTGATATCCAATCCAGCCCTGATTCCCAACACCAAACCAGCCTTGAAATTGCGGTCTGGGATATTAGCTTTGCTCTGATGGTCTTCAGTTAAACCACAATTCCACTAACCAGCACAACAATGAAGCGATCTCCAGGCTGGCAAGTCCAATGTGCAGTTCAAGACCAACCAGTGTGATGGAATCAGGAGAGGAGGCAGTAATGCATGACGAATGCTTGATGTAGCTTCTGGATGATGGAGTTAATTTTTAAACATGTGTTATATGGCACATAACTGATTGCAATTCTCACTATATAATTTGTTAATATAGAACATCAGTGCCTCCCAGGATTTTACCCTCACACCCACCCTCATCCTCAATCTTTTTTTCTCCAGGGAAAACATGTAAGCCCTTATAAACGTCTCTCTCATAGAGACTCCAATATCTCAGATTCAACCTTGAAATCTTCCTTGACCCTTCTCTGCAAATTCAGTGCCCTATTGATGATATGCTGACCCTGATCTGCTCACAATATTCCAAATGTAACCTTTTGTACAAGTAGAATAAAATCTTCTGACATTTACTGAGAAGCTCTTACCAGTTCTGTTGATAAGAACTTTAGGTTGACTGGAAACATTAAGTGAATTATAAATGATCCCAGTTAAAACCCTTTCTTTCTCCACCTCTGCTCAGGAACATCCTCCTCGGATGTTTACTGTCTCTTGTTTCAACATGCAATAGCTTGCAGTTATCTGCATCGATATAGATTTAGCACTCCTCAATCAGGTTTGGTTGAATGCATTTATTCTCCTTGCATTAATCATCTTACCACATAACCTGGTATTACTAGCAAATTTTAAAATATTCCAAGAATTACTCACCTCCGTGTGTGAACAGCAGGGAACCTGAACAGAATGTTGTGAAATTCCACTCAGCACTCACCTTAATGACAGAGCTTTTCCATTTATCATTCATTACCTTTTGCTGAGACAATTTTCTCCTCAAGGAGACAATTTGACATTAGTTGATTATATGTATTTGTTAAAAATATAGCATTTATATAGCGCTTTCCACATAAAATTAATGTCTCAAATCTCCTTCAAAGTACAATTCATTGGAAATGATGTGAATGTTCTGAGTGCATTTTAATAGGAGAATTATTTTAATCGTAGCAGAGTGTTTCGAAATCAAATTTGAATTTTCAAATGATAGAATTGATGATAACATGAATTGGATCTAATCAGGTTCTTGAAAGAGAAGTGCCTTTAATACTGAGCCAATTTTCACATCTAACCTTTGTCAATTTTTTTGGTGATATATGATGGCCAATTGCCATTCTCGGGTTGGAACAATCAGACAAATGTGCACACACACATTTGGGTAGGGATATTGTGATAGAGAGTAATTTCAAGTTTCACGAAAATTCAAGACAGTGAAGCAGGAGGGATACACGGAGGAAGCAAAAGGAGAAATGAGAGTGAGGGTAAGGAACGAGTGATTTGTGGGAACATCAACTGTGCTGAAATTATTTGTCTTTGGAAGCTGAATCCTTTCAAGATAATTTTATAATCTTCCTGCCTGCCACTCCAATGTGAGAGGCAGGCAGTGACAACAGGACCGCCAAACTATATTCTAATCAAACTCTGGGACTGATTTAAAGCTACTAGTGTTGCGACTGTCAGGTGACACAAGTCCTGACAGTTGCTTGAGATTTTAAGAACAGAGTAACAACTTACCTTTAATTCAGATTCCTTCAAGCTTGGTCTACATTGTTTGGTTAATTTTGTAATAACCAGGCAGAAAAAGGAAAAGAAACACACAGGTGGGATTTTAAAAATAGCTGCAGACTAAAAAGAGAGTTGCACCAGGAAAGATTGCTCATGTTTCTGAAGAAATCATTGTTAAATGAGTAAACTGAGATTTTGCATTGTGTAGTCTGGTAGCATCAAGCTGATAGAACCAATGCAATTACTGGGGGAAGCCTGGAGAAAGCTGGAAGGAATAAGGAATGAAGAGAAATTATCAAGGAGAATTCTGGAGCAGCTCGCAGGCTAGAAGAATGGAGGATGTAATGTTTTCTCTTATTGTGTCTCTGCTTTTTTCTTTCATTGCTTCAATTCCTTTCTTCATAAGATTGTAATAGAAGTATGGTGAAGAAAGCCCTTCGGCTCATTTGATCTCGTCCTTGCAGAACATCCACCCTGTTGTCTTCCCTGTTGCAGTATCATGCTGTGCCTTAAATTAGTCCAGCATTTCACTGTCTGAAGTTCTGCAGCTAAAATACATTTGTAGCGTCTTCCAAGTGTCCTCACAACTGGTGCCAAACCTGACATCAATGTAAGAACAATAGGTTTATACTGTACATTCACTAACAAGCAAGAGGGTTGAAATTCCAGATGTATAGACTTTGCATCAAGCATGATTATAATAGAAAATCCTTTTAGAGACCGACATCATCGATAACTCTTCATGGATCGATAACTGGAATTTTAGCCTAGGATACACAATTTACACAATCTGATGGGGTTATTGAATAAATTCATCTTACATTCCAAGATCTACACTTGTACATTTAATGCGCGTCTTATTCCGGTTGCTCTCATTTTTCTGAATGCTGGAATTATTTCTGAATTTCTTCCCTTTGGATTGTAGATTTAATGTAATTTTTTAATACAAAAAGTTTAGAAACATTTGGGCAGGTGGCGACCTCTGTGCACCCATGTACCTTGCTGGTGTACACTCAGATTGTTTTTAAAATGTTGCATTAATATCTGTGATGTATATTAATACAACATGGGAGATGAGTCAACACCTCCAATTGTGGAAAAGCCAAAGTGCCAGGAAGAGAGAGCTCTGACCACTGTTTCAGTGACAGTGCGGGTAGGGATAGGAGCCTGGAGGTGTGTGGAGTGATGGAACTGGTCATAATGTTTTGGCTAATGTTTACTTTGCTTTGACAGCTGTCACAGTTTACAGTGCTGGAAAAGCAAAGGTTAAGCTACAACCTTTGGAAACCCAACACGAAGATACATTTCATTTAAACCAAGTTTTGTCGAATGATGTTGTGTACAATGCCAACAGATGTTGACTCAGGACCCATTTGGTTTTAGAAATGAAGTCAATTGAGACTTGTATGCAGAGCAGACCTTACATCACAACTAGATCTTGTCAACCTCAATTTTTTTTGAATGGTGATGGGCTGGAAAGGGACAGTGGCAGGATATGAGTGAGCTCCTTCGCGACTGACAAAAGCATTTTTTCCGCTCTCTTTTACAGTGAATCAGAATCATGAAACGTTCGCCAAGTTAATTGACAAAGATGGATTCCTGTCCCAGAATGTCCCTGAATGAGACAATCCATATGCACTGTATCCTTAATGTATTCTTTTTCATCCACTTATGGAGCTTTCACAAACTTCTTAAACTTTATTTTTGATTAAAGGTTTGTTTTTTGTTTTCAAAAAATTGAATTGTGCACGTAGTTACTGATTTGTATAAAATGTCTAACATAACATCCTTTAATTTTGTTCTGTGTAGAGGATGTTATTTGTTCCACAACATAAAGGAACAAGAAAAAGAAACAAGCAATAGTTGTAGAGATCGAAAGAGCTAATGTAACAATGTGGAACAAGCACAATACCATTAAACCATAAAACAGGTAGAGGTATCGCTGAAAGATAAAAATGCTGCAACCATTAATAAGATAACTCTGTTCAATCAGTTTGCTACATATCAAGGGAATTAGATAGATACTGGAAGAAAAGGAGTCTTAAAGGGGAGAAATGAGCAGGAGAGTGGGCTCATGTAGAAAAAAGCACAAGTGAGCCAAATGGCCTGTTTCTATGCTGTAATATTCTATGAATTCAGCCTCTCACATCCTCACCTCACTGAGCGCTAAGTTTTGTACCCCTCTCACCAGGCTCCACTGGCTCCCTGATTTCCAATAGATTGACTTTAAGCTCCTCACTCTCACCTACAAATCCCTACATGCCCTCCCCCCACACTCTCTTACCACTGGGACCTTCTCTAGCCTCACTCGTCTGCTTGTCCTCTCCACTCAGCAAAACTCAGGTATGCCATGTGTTCCTCACCCCCTCACACAATTGGCAACTGAGCCTTCAGGCACTATGCCCCTACCCTCTGGACTTCCCTCTCTCACCACCTTTATCTGCCTATTAGAACTTCTTGAAAACCTACCTCTTCAAATGTGCCCACAGTCTACCAGTCATGGTAGAACAGAGCACAGGACTTCCTTTCAGAAATTCTAAAGGATTATAGCCAGTGGGACAAATGTTTAGTGAAACTTTTACAATTTCAAATGTGCTGATGGATTACACCCTGGTGTGATAGGATGGACTTTAGACTTACCATTCTCCATACAGTGAGTTTTCAATCTCAGCTGCACCACATACAAAAGAGCAAAGTTAAAAGACATTTGGATCAGTGTCATTTGCCCACTGGTGCCTCAGCTGTACAGTGGTTGACCCTGTGAGTAGTGTTTGGGAGCTTTCTGTGTTAGGGAATGGGGGGCTACAGAAAGGCAATAAAGAGGGATAGAAAAATAACAGACTTGCCATCCTCCATACAGTGAGGTTTCAGTTTCAGCTGCACCACAAACAAAAGAGCAAAGTTAAAAGACACCTGGATCAGTGTCATTTGGGAGAGAAAGTGAAAAGGTAAAAGAGCCTAACTCTAATTTTTGCTCTTTTGTGTTTAGCTTTCTGTTTGAAAGAAGCATTTTTAAATGTGGTACATCTATAGTTACAATGTAAATGCATATTTCATGCCATAGAGAATAACACAATGCCCAAAGGTCCGTTGATTTTACTTTTACATGTTCAGCGAAGCTGAAATTCCTTTTGTAATAAGAGTTCTTTGTTTCTTTGAGATCAATCCATCCATCTTAAAGTTTCTCAAGTCTGAATAATAATTGAAGAAATAAAGATTGGATTGATTCAATGTTGAGTGTTCTGTTCTTATTTAAATATATATATCCTAATTGGACCACCACAACGTGCTCTCATTAAACTCTGCAGTAGCTTATCAGGCTCTTTGCTCACTAATGAGATAAACTCCATCCTTCATTCTCCATTCAGTGCTGCTGCTACTGATCCTGCAACAAAAGACCAACTTGGCAAGTGAGACAGTTGCCTCAGAATCACTCTGTTGCGAGATCTCTTAAGGATACTTGGCACACCACCCTTTTTGCTGTTGGGTTTGTAGCCGGTCAATTAAATTTAGCATTACATGTCCAAAATCATGATTTTCTTGGCAATCTGTGAAGTTTTCAACAACAAGTTTTCAGTAGAGGCACCTAACAGCAGAGACGCTTGGGAGGAGAGAATGTATTACTGAACATGAGCCAGTGTTGAAGGAAACACGGAGCATCAGGATTCTGCTCCCCAGAGTGTGGAGCAAGATCACTATGGAGTGACACTAAATGGAGACAATGGATTTCAGAGCCAGGTTGGGGAAGGGGTTCGGGGCACTTGGGGAGGTCTAACTTTTGAATTGTACTAACCATGTGCAAATGTATGTGTACAAAGGGAATTCCAGATGCCTGTAGTAATTGGCTGAAATCCTTGTCAACAACAACAACTTACAATTATATCGCGCCCCTCGCTCAGGGTAGCATCCCATAGAGCTTAAATCATTGTCATTACTTGTTAGTAATACATTTAAAGGAAGCTCTGTATGAAGCTTGTGCACGGGCAAGTTCTTAAAATCATTTACATTTGATTAGTACAATACTTCCTGAGTTGGGAGAATCACCTAGGTCACTCCATAACCATTCAAGATACATCACATTGCAATGAATTTAGTCAGAGCCGAGGAACAGATGCACCAACTCATACCTTCCTCCCTGGTTTCGCTTCTTCCATTCTTTCTTAAAGGAATTGCACACTTCCACAGGCATCATTCACCATTTGACACCTTGTCCAAGAGAACATTTTTATCAAATGTAAGGTTTTTTTTATTATATTTTTATGCAAGATGATCATTAAAAAAACAATGATTTCACTGTGTTTTTCTAATGGGATTTCCCATTGAAAAGATGAAACTAAAATATTGCCATTTGTCACAATCAACATAAAGTGAACCTCAAAGTATTTTTTTTGGGGGGGCGGGGGTACGGTGGGGGACCAGCCGCGTGTCAGACACATGCGGAAACTCATCATTATGCTTAAAAGTATCCAAACCAAGCTGAGAATTCCAAGCATCCCACCTACACGTGGAAATCCCAGAGAGATGGTTGGGACAGAATGCAACACTTAATTCCAGAATTTATTAGGCAGAAGAGCAAAGGCTTGGGGACCCCCAGAGTGTGTGTCAGGAACTGCTGGAGTCTAATTAGCTAAAACTGTAATAGCTTGTTATTTGATGGAGTGGGGTGACGCAGTTAAGTTCTACTTCACATCTGTGCACTTTCCAGCAGCGGCAACAGAAGTGGGAACCCTGACTGATTTTATCTTCTCCCTAGCCCAGGAGCACTGAGCCCGACTGTAAAGTGTCCACCAATGGTGTAATTACGGAGCACTGAGCGAAGATAGATCCTGAGTCCTTCCTGCTTTTAGTGATACATAAAACAACTAAAAGTAACTCAAACAGCCCATGGGAGTCTGGAATGGGAGAATAGAAATGAAATGCTCCATTGGGAGACTTGGAGGGTTTTTGGTGGAAGGTAGTGTGGAGAGGTGGATGTTTTAAATTAACCTGGGGTTTATCTAGGGAATTCTGAAATGTGTGGCATGGCCATTGGGTATCAAGTAAAAGAAAAATCATTCCCCAGTGCTTTCTCTTTGACATGTACAAAAGTTCACTATAAATAAAAGGTAAACAGTGAGAGCTTTATGTTGAAATGTTTATGAGAGCAATTATGACCCTGTCAATAAATCTACCACCAATGACCCAATGTGGATAATGCTAAACCAGCCGAAAATCCCAGGTGGGTAGTTTTAATGCTGATTCTCATTTTCTGATATGGGTTTACCATGAGTGGGGCAAAAAGTACAAAAGCAAAAATTAAGGCCATTAAAGATGGGTGAATCCAAGTTATTTTAGTCACACATTATACAGTTATGCAATGTCCATACATGGAGATGCAAGTTTCGCTCAGAGCAGGAAAACATACAATGTAGAAGGCTGCCAACACAGTAGGAGGAAAACAATATGCTACACCAGTGTAGAAGGGATGCTCTGAGGCTTGGACCAAGCTATGTTGTTCAAGGTAGAGTGGAAGAGGTTTTATTCCTCACCTAACCTATGCTTTATCTGTCTTGGAGCGCTTGATGTTACTGTTAGGTACCAGAAAGGGGAGAAAACATCCCTCACTATGAGGAACACAACATTCTTATTCACCAAATAAAAATCTTTAATCTGCTTGCAAGGATGTTAAATGTCAAGACTGCTGCCAACCTATCTAGTTTTATATCTATGTCACAGATTTGAATGACAGATATCAGAATAAAGCAGGTTTGGAGCTTAGAATTATTAGTTAGTGATTTACTGCTTATTACTTAAATTCTCTCTAAAATGTTTCAACTCAAATGTAATAACATTCTCATTCAACTTCTGTGACCCTCAATTCATTGGCTTGAAAATCCAGCCTTCAATCTTCACTTAGAAGTGTTTTGTGAACCTGTTATCAGTTTGTTTGCTAAAAATACCATTAAGACAAAATTCACATCTAACCTCACCACTGAGATGTGAAAATGTCATTGTAGTGCCCTTATATGATGTAATTGGACGGAATATGACATGCTCCTTTTATGGCACTGTTCTGTGCAGCACTAGGCCATATAGAGCAGACTGTTTCAGCTTCAAATCTTGGTCTGTGCCTTTAGATGATCTCAGCCAGGACATTAGTTGGGGTTATACAATTGGTCTCAATGCCCTTGAGCTAACAGCCTGGATTCCTACTCTCTATTGCAATCCTGCTGACAGATGTACGTATGTGGACATTGGGTGAGAACAGGATCGGCTCAATGGTCATATAACTTATAGAACCATAGAAATGTATGACAGAGTAGGAGGCCATTTGGCCTACTTTCTCATGTCAGTATTTGATTCTCCAAGAAGTCATCCATCGCTGCCTCAATTTCTTTGCCTTATCCCCTCTTTAAATACCCCCTGAAAGCCTAACTCATCAACTGCTATATCAATGCAAAATGTTGGTGGTGGTGTTGCTTCACTCAAGACTTGGTCTTTTTAAATCCATTTATTATTTCTTCTGCACTTATTGAAGTCAAAAAGTTAACCTATATCTATAATGTGTATGATTTCCTGTATTTTAAAGACTTGGATCAAATCATCCTCAATATTCTGTTCTCAAGCAGAAGAAAGTTCAGCCCTATGTTCCTTTCCTTTTAACTCAAAGCTCTAAGTCAGGAATTACCCTTGTCCCTCTTTTCTAAATCCTCGCCAACATATCAATGTTCCCGTGAAGATTAGATGCCAAACATTTTGTATCAAATTCACATTCTGACTACACCACTGACTGAGTTCAGTCAACAGATCTTGACTTATTGTCATATGTCCTCAATAGGGAAATTGAGGGAATTTTGACAACAGCTTTTCAGTAATGGGAAGATTAAGTCAATAATTGATAATCCCTTAGTTTCCCCACCTCTTCTGCTGGATACCTCGTCATGGTGTGTACATCCTCAGAGCCTGTGTTGCAATGCTGGTCAGATTGTCTGTTGTTTCTTGTTCCAAAATAAAATGTAGTCAGCTGGGTATCTGACACATGTGGGAAACCATCACCATGCTTAAGAGTATCCAAACCAAACTTCCATGAATTCCAAACATGCCACCTACACATGGAAATTCCTGTGTCTGGAATGGAATTTGCACTCTTTCCCTGGAGGGATGCATACTGCTTACTTAATTCCAAAGAGCATTAGGCACAGGTTGGCAAAATCTTAGGCGTGGGGACCCAAGATTATGCAATGGGGTACTGCTTGAGTTTAATTGGCCAAAACCCCACAGCTTGCCATTGAGAGTACTGTCTGGCAAGCTTCCCACTGCTTGTGCAACCCTACCCATGTTAGGGCTTTGGCTTACAGGGTTAACAGGAGCTGGATGCGAGGAATCCTTGCTCCTAGTATCTTACATTTAGCTGAATGAAAATCCGTCTACTGCTTTTTGGCTCATTTGCTTAATACTGTAAATCTAAATTTTTTTAATGCTATTTATCCTTCTTATGTTTAGACACCTGCATCCATAGGTTGAGCTTATCAGTAAATGTTATGTTGGAAGAAGCGCTCTCCTCCAAGTCAGTGAGAATGATGTTTCATGTGAAATATTTAGAATATATGACTAGGACTATTTCAGAAAAAATATTTTATTTTGTTGACTTGCTGGAGTGGTAAGAGCAAGAGTAAATAACATTTAGAATGCAAACCGTGTTTTATGTTTTGTAAAATATTCCAGACTCTTTCTGATCGTATTTCTAATCCCAACCCTCAAAACAAAGTGCAAATGAAACAAGAAGGAAGAACAGCCTCTAAATGTCAAGATACAACTGAGGTATTTTATCAATCTGCCTTCACATACATTTTGCATTTCCAAAATCAATCTTGGTCCCCCCATAGATCATGTGAGTTACTTAAAACTTGGTGTCACTGAAGCAGGTTCAGTTCCACACTCCTGTCAAACAGGAAGCCTTCCAACAAAACCTAATTATTGGTACTTCAGAAATATTCAGTCCCTGATAACCAGAGTGTTGAGAGATGAAATTAATCATTCTGTCAGCCTTCTCAATGTTTTGGCTGCAAAGCCTCACAAAACCTTTCAATATTTATGGCCGAT